GAGAGAGAGAGAGAGAGAGAGAGAGAGAGAGAGAGGAATGGTAGAAAGGAGAGAAAGTGAAGAAAGAGGGGAAAGGTTTAGATGTCCCTTTAGAAGAGAAAGGAAAATAGGATGGGGAGAAGAAAAAATACATGAGGTATTGGGAGAGCAAAGAAGTATCAAGTGTAGGGGGAGATTAAGAGGTGGGGAATAAATATAGAGGAATGGTAGAAAGGAGAGAGTGAAGAAAGAGGGGAAAGGTTTAGATGTCCCTTTAGAAGAGAAAGGAAAATAGGATGGGGAGAAGAAAAAATACATGAGGTATTGGGAGAGCAAAGAAGTATCAAGTGTAGGGGGAGATAAGAGGTGGGGAATAAATATAGAAGAGTGGGGTAGGGGAAGAAACCTAGATAAGAGGAGGTTGGAGGGAGAGAGGAGAGTTGCAGAGTTACAAAGGAGTAGTGAGAGGAGGGAGTATATCAAGGTGTGGGCAGTCGCCAAAGCACTGTATGCGCCATCCATAGGTAACCAAACATCCGCAGCATCTTTAGCACACGGTTGATAGTGGTGGGATCTCTGGCTTGCTTGATGCTCGATTGTTCACCAATCAATGAACTGAGTTGATGATGGCCCTTGAATCGAAGTCTTGGTATGTAAGATGAAAGTAGTGACTATATTGCTACGTATTTCCTTCTACTCAGTTTTACATTGTTTTTCCTCTTTTTTTTTCCCCTCTTTTTTTAACTTTTCCTCCTTTTTGGTTTTAATTTTTATTTATTTTTCCTTTTTATTCTTTCCATTTTCCGAAAATCCTGTATTGGCAACCCACATTCTGGGAGGTCAAGGTAGGGACCGAAGAGGAGGGAGTTGGAGAAAACAGCCTCTGAACACTGTATAGTAAGAAAGGAATGTAGGAGGATTAGGAAGGCGAATAAGCAAGAGCAAGGCAACAGGCTTACAGTAGACTACTTATCCAAAGAGACAAAGGGGTTAGAAGCCCCCGGGAGGGGTTGGGGGGTGGGTTCGTCTTTGCTAAACACCCATTAGGTTAAGGGGCTTTGTTATTGGCCATATCCATCACTGCCTTTCTAAACTTCTTCTAACTGAGAAAGGCCTTTCAAGCCAAGCTGAATCTTGAGGGGGAGGGAATTGAAAGACAAATGTACTAGTCTAGGTCTAGGGTCCTCTGGTTTTGAGAAGAGGCTCTTGAAGTACCTAACGATGACACGATTTATATGCTCTGGCTAGGTATAGGTACGGTTGTCTGCAGAGATTTGAATGATAGCATTTTCTCTTCCTTTAGAGTTAGAGATCTTATGGAAGAAGGCAGTATTCCTGTCACCTATGTTAAGCCATTTTACCCTAGATGTCTGAGATATGTAGGTTTCTTCTTACTCTAGGGCAGAGAGGAGATTTCCTTTGAAGTCCTCTCGGGGAGTTCAATTGGTACCTTTGGTTATTAGATGTTGCAATATTTGATCTGAAATTCCACGTGATTACAGGAACTATATTGGTAAACTTTTGGTGCAGCATACTGGCATTTTGTGGGTGGTGTCCTGCTATCCTAAATCAGTCCTATGAGTTCAAAAATCCCTAGTCACGGTTATTCCTGTTTGAAACAAAAGAATATTAACATACTAGTTCAATTGGTACCTTTGATTATTAGATGTTGCGATATTTGATCTGAAATTACACATGATTACAGGAATTATATTGGTGAGCTTTTGGTGTAGCATACTGGCATTGTGTGTGTGGTGTCCTGCTCTCCTAAATCAGTCCTATGAGTTCAAAAATCCCTAGTCACGGTTATTCTTGTTTGAAACAAAAGAATATTAACATACAAAAGAATATTAACATACGTTCTTTATTTATGCTGGATTTTGTGTGTAATAATTTTTGTTTGCTAGGCCTTCTCTTCATTTTCCTTTATTATGCCATCAAGTTTGGTCAGTCATATTTTGAGAGATTCCAAGCATGTTACTATCAGCACGCTTTGTTGCCATGTTTTGAAATTCCTCCGTCTAATGTTTTTCTTTTTTAGGGATTTACACATCCTGTGCGAGCACATTTTCTAGAGGATATTGTTGAAACCACTGGCTATAGATTGACTCCATACAACCAAGTCGATGATTATGGTCAAGAAAAGATGTGGAAAATGCAGAGACAAGCTCTACGTAAGAGGAAAAGCCAAATAGCTAGTTCTGTTGAGGTAGAAAAATTTATGGCCTTTGATTGTCACTCCTTTCTCTTCTTGTGAGCTGTGTTGAAGAAATTCTCTTTCTGTTTCTTCTCTATTGCTGAGCAGGATGCATTAGAAGCTGCCAATTTTGACAAATATAGTCTGAGAACTCGGGAGTCTTTGGCCTGTTGGAATCCTGATTCGATTGGATTCAACCTCATTGAAAATGTATTATGCCATATATGTAGGAATGGAAGACCTGGTGCTGTGTTAGTTTTTATGACTGGGTGGGATGACATAAATTCTCTGAAGGAACAGCTCCAAGCTCATCCTCTTCTAGGTGATCCGAGCAGAGTTCTCGTACTTGCATGCCATGGGTCTATGGCAAGTTCAGAGCAGGTGATTTTGATGGTTGCATCAGACATTTTTTTTTTGATTAGTGAATGTTTATGTCTGTTACCTCTTAGCATTCATCTTTTATTGCTTTTCCCCTCCTCCACACGTTTTACTTGCAAGTCATACTAAACTTGTGTAAAGCATAGACTATAATAAGTGCCTTACGAACAGTATTGTAAAAATTGTTTCACTGGGGATAGATTTTACTTTTAATTTCATCGTTCTTAGCATGTGTTGAACTGTTATCTGGTCTTGAGTTATAAGCCATAAAGAAAACAAATTTTTTTTTGTCTACTCAACTAGTGGGTGGCATTCTCATATAATTGTCGATTTTTTCTGCTGATGTTTGTCAGAGTCATGGCTGCTACCTGAAATGCATGTAGAAATAAATTATAATCCATAAAGAAAGCATCTTTTTTTTGTCTACTCAACTAGTGGGTGGCATTCTCATGTAATTGTCAATTTTTTCTGCTGATGTCTGTCAGAGTCATGGCTGCTACCTGAAATGCATGTAGAAATAAATTAATGTTCTCAAGAAATTTATATTTTAAAGTTGCCTGCCACTGACATGCCATGAAAATAGAAGAACCGTAAAAGTAGACTCTTGAAAATGGAATTAAACAGACGGCACAAGAAAAGGCATTAGATCATTTTTTATTAATAATGTAGCTGTGGATCATCTCCCAGAAAGACAATGATATTGTGTTTGTTGCTAAAATATCACAAACACGGTCAATGAGAAAGGGCTGGAATGGGCCGTTGGCCTAGGTGGTCAGGGTGGTGGAGCCACAATGTGACATTAAGGTTCCATTCCCACCCCTTCAACATGTCACCTAAAAAACAGAAAAAAAGGAACCAGGTAAATGGAAAAGGGCCATTTGTAAATGAGGAGTTTGGACTAGGTGAGTAAATTTAATCCAACAGCGTGCAGCAGAAGGAACCACATTCAGCTCTACTTGTATTAGGAGATATAAAAGGCCGCATGGAAATGGGCTTTGATGCTATTAAATGCTTTTCTTGCATTAGTTAATGAATAGGTCAGATTGAGGGTGCTGATGACACTGGCGCAATAACAGCACATGTTTTTCGCATTTATGAACCTGTGCTCATCAGTATTTCAATTTGCTGTTGTGCTAATAGTCTGAAGGGATTCTGTTCTTTTAGATTGTTCCTTTGTGTGGCAGCCTTTGTGGTTTCAAAATTATCAATTAACAGGAACTGCAGCCCAAGTTGCTATCTGCATACCTGGTTCACTTGTGAGATTACCTCAATTCTCCAGATGCATATTAATTTTGATACAGAACTGAACGTTGTTAAAGGTTGCTATTCAAACTTCCTTTCATGATTTCTTTCCACTGTGCGGGGTTCCAATTCCTGCAGGTGGTGAAGTTTTTGTTTTCTTTTTTCCAGGTTCTTGATTTATATTTTAATGCTATGTAGAATATGATTTGGTAATGGACTTTTATTAGGATATGCTTTTGTAAGATCTTTTTAGAGCAGTGTGCGCTTTATTGGATCCAATGCTACCTCTGCTATTACTTCTGAAAAAAGCTTTTGCAGTAATCTCTTATGGAAACTCTTTTACTCCCTATCTCGTGTTATACCATTTTTGGATGTTTCCAATTGTGGAGTGTTTTCTTCTTGCATAACAACTACAAAAAGAGTTTTATTTGGATGGATGGACTCAGCTGTGACATATTCTCGGACTCAGCTGTGGCATATGCTCAGCAAGGAATGCTTTATTTATTTTTGAAACTTTAGTATACCCAAGACCTTATGGACTTAGTGGTGGCAAAACAGATATTCACAGGTGATTTTGTGAGGATTTCATATGAGTGTTTTCTTGGAAATGTGAAACTGCTTAATTGACACCCCAGCTAAAACAGAACTTGCAGAAAATTCTGTTCGTGTGTATGCCTATCTGATCAGGTGTATTTTAGCAATATGGTGTTTTTATGATTTAGTGGTGTACAAGGGTTCTATCTCTGCAAGATTCAGGATAAGCATAGGGTATCACTTGGAACTCCAATAGGCCTATTTTTGAAACAACTTCCGAAAGTTATCTCCCTCGCAGTTGTCACATGTACCTGTCCTACTGAACTAGCCATCTGGTGCTCAGTTACATAGAAGGTTTTTCTCTCTTTAAGGAATGATTGTTGTAATTTATAATGAACTTGTCAATCCTAGTGACAATATTGTACGTGGAAATTGCACCTGCAGTTACCATTCATATGCTTCTTGATCGTGGTGTTTCCAAAAGTTGAACTTATGTACTTTAGGCCTACATGGAACAAATGTGGCAAAAGTTTAATGCTGCTGCCAACCTAACACAAACCTCCTCCTTTCTCTGGGCTTGGGACTGGCATAATTGGTTTGGGACTGGCCATTGCGGACCCCAAACAGTTGGGACAAGGCTCTGATGTTGTTGTTGTTGTTGATGATGTACTTGAGTCTTACCTATAGTTTCAATATTGTGTGTGTGAATCTAAACTTTAAGCTGAGATGTTATATTCAGGTAATAATAGTGCCTCTCTATGTGCTAGCTATCCATTGGAATGAGGGAAGACTAGACTATAATTGGAACAACTATTGGATGAGCATGGAAATGGAAAAAGAAAAATGTTGAGTATCTTGCTTTTTACAGAGCAGGAATGTGAGAAGTTAGTTTGTTTCCATAAGAAAGACTAATTTGGAAAACCTTAGTCAATCTAGCCATGAGTTGCCATTGAAATGGCAGTTGGTAACAAAGAGATAGAGGGACCCTCTAGGACATGACATGACCCTAATGGTAGGTTACGTTACCGACCATAAGCTCAACGGATGGTGATGACTCTATCCTGTAAATGGGATCCTCAATTTGATTTCTTATCATTCTTATGCAAAACATTGGTGTATATCTATCCCTCAAAAGAAAACATTGGTGTATATCTTTTGAGCCAACTTAATTATCTCTTTTGTTCGTGTCTATTTTGCTTTCATTGTCAGAGCCATGCAACCACATGCATTGTGTCACCTAATGCTTTCATAAGAAAGATTCCTTGTGTGCTTTGTTTAATGTGAAATGGGAGGAATGGCCACAATGTTAAGTGAAATAAATTAAATGAATTGCACAATGACCACTCAATACCCAAGGGCCTAAACAAAATTTTATTGCGGGTCTAATGGGGTTAGGTCTAACTCTATTTGGGGCTCTTTGTGGCTACTCAGAGGCCCTCACTTGCATACCCAACTCGTGAATCCATGGGTACGTGCAAAGCCACAAACCATGTAATGAGTAGCATGCCCAACATTTGTCCATCAAAAGAAGATGTCGGACCTTGGTGTGCATTACAATTCAAAACAAAATTCAAAAGGATGCAACTGAGCATGCCCCATCCCTCCAACCCATGCAATACCGACATTCTGACTAAGGGATGTTCTTCGAGTTCGTACTTACGCATCTTCCTCATGGCACCCCCAGGAATTTCAGTGCCCATCTATTTGTGCATGAGCATTTGTGGCCGATGGCCATGACCTGTGTACACATCTATGACAATAAGGGATTGCCATTGTCAAAATGGTGTGAAAATACGTCGTTCTTTCCTTCTTTCCATCATTACTCAAGTCTCTACTAGGAAAAATGTTTAATTACGCAAAGGAGAGACTCTTTGTCCTCACTTTATTTGACGCCACATTGTATGTTGCTAATGCGTGTTGCGACAGTTGTTTCTTTATATGACCACAATAGTGAAATCAACCAAGGAATGTGCTTGCTCTTAAGCAACTTGTTTAATCCTGGCTATTTATTAAGCGAAGTCCATCCTTCAATTAACTCACATAATTAAAAAATTTGGCTGCTTAGGTGTGCCCTAGGTGGAGGTGCCTCTAGGTACACACCTAGGCAGGCGCCTTGGCCAAGGCTCTCACCTTGGCCCTCTCCCTTCTTCCTACATTTATAAATTATAGCTTTTATATTATATAATATTGTATATGGTAATAGTACTATTTAATATTGTATGTGGTCATAGCACCATAATAGTATAGTACATCATCATTTTGGCCTTTTCCCAATTAATTGGGGTCGGCTACATGAATCTTGATTTTCCATTCTGTTCTATTAAAGGCCATACCCTCAGTGAGGCCATAAGTCTCCATATCTTTTCTGACTACTTTCAACCATGTCCTTTTGGGCCTACTCCTTGCCCTTTTCAGTCCTTACACTTAATCTAACTCGCATCTCCTAACCGGTATTGTATTTGGTCGGCGCCACGCATGGCCAACCCACCTAAGTCTACTATCTCTCATTTTATCGCCTATTGGTGCCACGTCAAAATTCTCTCGGATAGATTCATTTTGAATTCTATCTCTTATTGTCTTGTCGCTCATCCATTTGAACATCCTCATCTTTGCGACACTACTTCTATGGTATATTGTTTTTGTCCGCCCAACATTCCGCCCCATAGAGCAGAGCCGGTCTCACGACTTTCCTATAAAACTTGCCCTTCAGCCTCATTGGTATGCGGCGATGATATAAAATTCCAGTTTCGCATCTCCAGTTTGCCCACTCAACTCTAATTTTGTGTGTGACATCTGCATTGATCTCTCCATTTTTTTGAATTATCAACCTAAGATATTGAAAATGCGGTCTTTTTTTGTACTTGCTGCCCGTCAATCTTAACTGCTTCCTCCTCTCGACTCTTATTATTCTTAAGCTTGCACTCCATATACTCTGTTTTAGTTCTACTAATTTTAAAACCTTTGGATTCTAGAGCATCCCTCCAAAGTTCTAACTTTGTGTTGGCGCCGTTTCGGGTTCATCAATCAAAACTATGTCATCTGTAAACAACATGCACCACGATACTTCATCCTGTAAGTACTTGGTTAAGTCGTCCATAACTAAGACAAAGAGGTACGGGCTCAATGTTGATCGTTGATGTAGACCTTTTGTCACTGAATACTCACTCGTCTCTCAATTAGTTGTTTGTACACTAGTTAGCATTCTATCGTACCTATCTCTCACCAAG